TCAAGATAAAATGGTACAAACCCAACCTCCCACCTTCACATCAACCTGCCGGATAAATCCTCTGCTGTTCTGTTCTGCAAACACCGACTCCGAGGTCACATCCTTGAGGGATCGCGGAGCCCGGTGACTTTAAAGTGCCCCTTTCCAGCCGGGCAGGTGCCGAGCGCTGCCCCAGGCCCTGGGTGTTCCCGGGCTGCTCCAAAGGCACGGCAAAGGCACCCTGGAATCTGCATTTCTCGGTCACTGGGCCATTGTCTGCGCCCGCGAATGCAGATCCTATCGTTAGGGTTTTAATTAGCCCGGCATTGACGGGGAAATGCAAATCGGGCCGGGAAAATGGAGCCGCGTTTTGGAGGCACGAGCTGCTGTTAATGCACGTAATTAAAGCGCTAAGTGATTGTTCCTTCCCCGCCGAGCTGCGAGTGTCACTCAAGGCAGGAGCTTTCAAGTGCTATAAATAATCCAGCTGATGGAGATAAGGGATGGAGTATGGAGAGCTCAGATAATGCTCGTCTTATTCACAATTTGAATTTAATCATCTCTTTTCAGGCGGGGGCTGCAGCGGAGGAGCCGATTCAAGGATCAGGTTGAGGGGCACAGTCCGTCTCTCCGATGGTTCTGGTCATTCAAAAATAGGTTTTTGGTGACCTTTACTCTGAACAAATCCCGGCGTTTTAGTAAATTGCTTTCAAAAATTGCTGCTTTTATCCTCTGACCGGTATCTCCTCCAGCAGTTGGGCACCTGGGGAGCGAGGAGATTAAAGGTGGCGAGTGAATCTTGGGACTGTGAAATGTTCCAGTGGAATCCCACGAAACCACCTTGGTTTTCTCTTTTTGGAGAGCTGCAGCTTTTGGGTTTTTTTTTTTTCAAAGCAGGTTTCTCATTCATTGCGTACCCAGCGTGGTCAGGAAAATCGGATTAAAACCTCCAGGTGGAATTTTTGAATTTTGGGTGATGCTGAATTTGGGGATGGGGCCGTGGGGATCCCAGATCCTCGGAGCTTTCCCGTGGGTCAGGAGTTTTCTGATTTAAAGACTTAAAAGGTTTTTGCAAGAGCACAGGAATGGGAAAATATTGGAATTCAGGGCGTCACCTCCCGATTCCATCTCCTGTTACCTCCTTGGAATGAGAGGATTTTTCCCAAATCAGACTGTTCCACAATTCTGGGATTATATTCTGATCTAACAGAGGTTGATCTTTGGTTTCCTGTAATCCCAATTTTCCTGGACAATGATTGCAATGTCACTGAAAGCTTTTGGTGGGAGTTGGAAAAAAAAAAATCCCACTGTTACTATTTACTGTGAAATAATCCTCAGGTTTTCTCTAATATCCCATAAATGGAGGAATGTTACAGGGAAATTATATTTTAAGGTGTGGAGGAGTCCATAGGAACCTCCAGGATTGAGTTTCAGCTGATCTGCGCTGACCTTTTTTTTACTTTAATTAAATTTAAATTTAAATTTTTACTTTAATTAAATTGCAATAATCTCTCTGTTCCTACCCATTGGCCACACCCCCAAATTTACATTTACCTTCAGTAAATCTTAATTATCTAAAACCTGATAAATTGCCTCGAGGCGAGAAAACTTCAAGGAGGATTGGTTTAGCAGCTTTGAAGTTGGTGGTGTTTCCATTTGGAATATTCTCCATCCTCTGGGATTCAGAAATTTGGGATCTGCCCTCCCTGGGTCATCTTTAACCTCTCCCTGTGGAGCAGACGTGGATTAGCCCTGACTCAGCCTGGAGCTGATGGAAAACCTCCAGAGCTGCCATGGATGGTGGCCTCTGGAACAAATATTTTCAGGATTCAATTTGTCTTGGCAGGAAATGGCTCCAGAGGGTTTTTATCAGCCCGAGACACCTTTTAAGGTGTCTAATTAAAAAAAAAAAAAACAACCACAAGAAAAGGCTACAATTCCTCCTAAAGCCTGGCACGTGTTGGCATTTTCTACCTCCTTTGTTTCGGGAGAAACTTAATCAAAAGCTGTTTGTGGATGGAGAAAGGTTAAGCCTTTAAATATTGGGATTTTCAGGGACTGTTGGGAAAAGGGGCCGGGGAAGAGCGGCGCCGCCGCTCCCTTATCTCCTTGGAAATTAATTACTTGGGGAATCAGCTCGGGAGAGTTTTGAGGAATTAACAGGGAAATCTGTGGCTTTTTAAAGGCCACTGGGAGCGGAATTATCAGCTGGGTGCGTGCTGGGACGTCAGAGGGCAGAGGAGGGGAGGGAGAGAATTCGGGGTGGGCTGAGCAACCTCCACCGCCGAGCTGGGCTTTGCTGGAAAAAACGGGAATGTTGGTGAATCATTCCTGCTTTGGGATGATGGGGAATATTAACCCAAGCCCTGCCTGGAGTGGCTCGTTGACCCCATCTTCACCTGAACTGCTCCATCCTCCCCTGCCTCGGTGCCAGGACACTCAGCCTGCACACATCCACTCGTTCCTGCTCCGCATTTTCCATCAACCGCCCACAAAAGGTGGAATTCAGCCCCTTTGGGGTTGGCTGAGGACAGCCAGGATCGTTTTCCTGGCCCTTTGGAGTTGAGTTTTCCTCTCTTTCCATCTGGGGCTCCCTCTGAAGGAATTGAATTGATCCATAAATCCAGCAGAAGCCTTGGAGCTGCCCCTGGATCCCTGGAGGTGTCCAAGGCCAGGTTGGACGGGGCTTGGAGCAGCCTGGGATGGTGGGAGCTGTTGGGGTTGGAATGGGATGAGCTTTGAGATCCCTTCCCACCCCAACGACTCTGATCCCACTGGTTGTCCTTGCTCCAGACCTTGTTTCATCTCCCAGGCTGTGTCTGAGGGCTGAGCTGCCTGGAAAACCACTTCCATTTTCCACCTCTGTTTCCCTGGAGGTGCACAAGAGCCTGGATGCTCCAGGCTGGATCCAGCCCTGGTTTAGGCAGGGAATCAGCCAGGAAAAACCTGGATTATTGCAATCCTTGACCTTCTTCCCATCCTGGTACTGGATCTAGTGTGCCTTGGAGTGGAGCTGATCCATTCTGGGGGTTTTATCCTGGAGAAGTTTGGGTTTGGGAAGCACGGGGAGCCAGCAGAGCTGCTGGGAGAGCTGGGAATGTTCACCTGGAGAAGGGAAGGATCCAGGGAGAGCTCAGAGCCCCTTCCAGAGCCTAAAGGGGCTCCAGGAGAGCTGGAGAGGGACTGGGGGCAAGGGGTGGAGGGACAGGACACAGGAGTCCAGAATCTCTGGATCCCTGGGAGTGTCCCAGGGAAGGTTGGAGCAACTTGGGATCAGGGAAGGTGTCAGGGTTGGAGTGGGATGGGATTGAAGGTCCATGGATCCCATCCCAAAGCATTCTGGGATTCAGGACACTCAGGATCCATCCCCAGGGATTTTTTATGGGATTTGGGGAAGGGAAGGGAGACCCTTCGTGGAGTCCCCAATTCCCAGTGAAGCTCCTGGATGCCAAAATTCCTTCCCAGAGAAGATTCAGGATGGGGATGGATCCAACCCCAGGCTGGGAGAGCTGGGAATGGAGGGAATTCCCTGGGAAAGGGGAGCTTGGGGTCTTGAGAAGGAATTCCTGGCTGGGAGGCTGGAATTCCCAGAGAATCCCTGGATCCTTGGAAGTGTCCAAGGAAAGGCTGGAGCACCCTGAGATACTGAGAGGTGTCGGGGTTGGAATGGATGGGATTGAAGGTCACTTCCCACCCAAACTGTTCCATCATTCCATGATTCCATGAAAACGTGTGACAGTTTGTCCTGCAAACCCTGGGGCAGCAGCTGCTGGGGCCACAGCAGCCATTAACTCACCTGATCCAACTGGGAATTCCTGTTCCTGCAGGAATACCCCGCTGGAGAGGGATCAAGTGATCCCAAACCAGCAATAAATCCAGGCTCTAACCCAGGATCAGATCTGGAGAAACGAGGCCGTGTCCTTGCTTAAATCACTTTAATCCTTGCTTGGTGCAGGGTGCCCTGCCTGGCTCCTGATTCCACTTTTTCTTTAAATCAATTTAATCCTTGCTTGGTTCAGGGTGCCCTGCCTGACTCCTGATTCCACTTTTCCTTTAAATCACTTTAATCCTTGCTTGGTGCAGGGTGCCCTGCCTGGCTCCTGATTCCACTTTTTCTTTAAATCAATTTAATCCTTGCTTGGTTCAGGGTGCCCTGCCTGACTCCTGATTCCACTTTTCCTTTAAATCACTTTAATCATTGCCTTGCTCCTGATTTCACTTTTCCTTTGCTGGAATGATTTAATTTCAGTCGTGAATCCCCAAATTTAATCTGGGAAAAACCCATCCTGCGTGCTCCGTGTGGGATTCAGGCAGGGAAATCAGAGCCACACTTCATCCTGCCGTTCTCTGGGCTCGCTCAGAGTGGAGAATAACGCAGAAAAACAGAACAAATCTGTTTGTCTCCATTGCTGTTCCAGTGCTGTGTCCCAGACACGTTGATTAATCTCGGAACGCGGCGTGCCGAGATGGAAGATCAGCACGCTCATCCCTATTGTTCTAATTCCGGAGTCTGGGACAACAAATGGTGCAATATCCATGGAATTCACGCTGGAAAATACAAGGAAAACGCGGATTTCACTCGTTGCGGTGTTGTGTGGATCTTTGTTCCTCCGTGTTTTCCTTGCTCTTTTCCAAAAATGCCATAAACCCATAAATACTCAGAGCTCGCCTTACGCCAGGAATTCCCATATTTACAACCACAAACCCCCTTTGGAAACGAGTCCAGCCAAAGCTCCCAACCCCAGGGAACATTCCCTTTGCCTTTGGAAACGAGTCCAGCCAAAGCTCCCAACCCCAGGGAACATTCCCTTTGCCTTTGGAAACGAGTCCAGCCAAAGCTCCCAACCCCAGGGAACATTCCCTTTGCCTTTGGAAACGAGTCCAGCCAAAGCTCCCAACCCCAGGGAACATTCCCTTTGCCTTTGGAAACGAGTCCAGCCAAAGCTCCCAACCCCCGGGAACATTCCCTTTGCCTTTTTTTGGCTCTTTTTGACTCTTTTTTTTGTTGTTGTATTTTCCAGGAGTTTTTTGAGAACCCCGCCTTCCGCCCCGACGGGATGAAGCTGTACCCCACGCTGGTGATCCGCGGCACCGGGCTCTACGAGCTCTGGAAAACCGGGAGATACCGGAGTTACCCCCCCAGCACCCTGGTGGATCTGGTGGCCAGGATCCTGGCCCTGGTGCCGCCCTGGACGCGCGTGTACCGTGTCCAGAGGTAATTCCCGCCTGGAGTTATCCCCTGGCTGCTCCGCGAGGGATTCCGGCTTCGATTGGTTAATTACAGCCCGGCCTGACTCGGCCTTCGTTATCTCCCAGCCTTAATCAGTAATTAAGCAAAGATCGTAGAGCTGCTCCCTCTCCGTGCGGGTGGGAAAGGCCGAGCAGGATGGGGAGGTGGGAAATTGGGAAGAGCACGGAAAATTCCGGAGGCGTTGCTTCCGCTGCTGGCTGGGGCAGCAGCCAGGGCTGGGAGGATCCTGAGGGATAACGGGTGGATCCCGTGGTGGATAGTTAATTGGGTGGATTCTGTGATAGAGCCTGTGATGAATAATTAATTGGGTGGATCCCATGATGGGTCCTGTGATGGGTAATGGGATGGATCCCGTGATGGATAACGGAATGGATCCCGGGGTGGATAATGGGATGGATCCCATGGTGGATAATGGGATGGATCCCATGATGGATAATGGGATGGATCCCGTGGTGGATAACGATTGGGATGCATCCCATGATGGATAATTAATTGGATGGATCCCATGGTGGATAACTATTGGGATGCATCCCGTGATGGATAGTTAATTGGGTGGATCCCATGATGCATAATGGGGTGGATTCCTTGATGGATGATGGGATGGATCCCATGATGGATAATTAATTGGATGGATCCCATGATGGATAACTAATTGGGTAGATTCCATGATGGATAATGTGTGGATCCCATTATGCATCATTAATTGGATGCATCCCAGGGTGGATAATGGGATGGATCCAATAATGGATAATGGGTGGATCCTGTAATGGATAATTAATTGGATGGATCCTGTGATGGATAATGGGATTGATTCCTTGATGGATGATTGGATGCATCCCAAGGTGGATAATGGGATGGATCCCATGATGGATAATGGGTGGATCCTGTAATGGATAATTAATTGGATGGATCCTGTGATGGATAATGGGATGCATCTCTTGATGGATAATGGGATGGATTCCTTGATGGATGATTGGATGGATCCCATGGTGGATAATGGGATGGATCCCATGGTGGATAATGGGATGGATCCCGTGATGGATAATGAGTGGATCCCGTGATGGCTGATTGGGTGGATCCCATGATGGATAGCGGGATGAATCCCATGATGGATAGTTAATTGGATGGATCCCATGATGGATAATAAGTGGATCCCGTGATGGTTGATTGGGTGGATCCCATGATGGATAGTTAATTGGATGGATCCCCTGATGGATACCTATTGGGATGGATCCCATTACAGATAATTAATTGGGTGGATCCCATGATGGATAGTTAATTGGATACATCCCCTGATGGATAATTAATGGTAGTTAATTGGATACATCCCGTGATGGATAATGGGATGGATCCCATGGTGGATCATTAATTGGATGGATCCCCTGATGGATAATTAATGGGGTGGAATCTGTGATGGATCATGGATGGATCCCATGATCCTCTGCCAGAAATGCTCATGCAGGATTCCTCACCTGCCTGGACTCTTTTCCTTGGTTTTTCCCTGGAGCTGTGGCAGGGTGGGGATGAGCAGAGGGAATTGGCACGGGAGGAGGCAGCTGGAGGTGAGAAACACTGGGAAGCTTCGGCCAAGAAAATCGGGATTTAGGGATAAAAGCAGAGCTTCTGAATTATTTAAAAATTAATTTTTGCTCAAAATTCTGTTGATTTACAAGGACAGAGAAGGTGAAAGGGCTGAAAGAGGAGGCTCCAGCAGGAAGTGGGAATGGGAGATGGGATGAGAGGGAATCCAGGGGAGTTTGAAATCCGGAATGAGAGGGAATCCAGGGGAGTTTGAAATCCGGAATGAGAGGGAATCCAGGGGAGTTTGAGATCTGGAAGGAGAGGGAATTCCAGGAAATTTGAGATCTGGATTGAGAGGGAATCCAGGGAAATTTGAAATCTGGAATGAGAGGAAATCCAGGGAAGTTTGGCATCTGAAATGAGAGGAAATTCTGGGAAGTTAGACATCTGGAATGAGAGATGGGATGAGAGAGAATCCAGGGAAATTTGACATCTGGAATGAGAGGGAATCCAGGGAATTTTGACATCTGGAATGAGAGGGAATCCAGAGAAGTTTGGCATCTGAAATGAGAGGGAATCCAGGGAAGTTGACATCTGGAATGAGAGGGAATTCTGGGAAGTTTGACCTCTGGAATGAGAGGGAATCCTCCCACGATGCTGTGGAGGTGGAAAACTCTGGAATGAGAGGGAATTCTGGGAAGTTTGACCTCTGGAATGGGAGGTGGGATGAGAGGGAATCGTCCCACGATGCTGTGGAGGTGGAAAATGAAAGGAAGGGCATCACCCCCCTCCAGGGGTTTTATTTTCCTTGGATTTCAGTGTTTTTATGGATTTCCCTCTCACTCTGATGATGGGGAGGTGGAAAAACAAGGAAGTAAAAATCCTTCCCTGGGAATGGGGCAGGGCAGAGAGCCAGATCCAGAATTTCCATGGAAGTTCCAATCAGTTGCTCCACAAGAAACCCGAGGAATGGGAATGTTGGGAAAACAGGAGGTGAAACAAACCTGGCTGCAGCTGCTTTTCCCCATCCATATTTTAATTTCCTTGGCTCCCAGCAGGCGGATGAGCAGCTCTGGCTTGTAATCCACCTTTTATTTGTGGGATTTTGGTTACAATTCCCTGGATTTTAGCTAAAAACCCAAGTCAGGAGCGCATCAGGATTATATTATCTCTGTTCCTGGGAGGGAAAATCCACCCAGCCTGGCGTTTCTGGAGCTGTTCCATAATTGTTATTCCCTGGATTATCCCTGTGGAGCCGAGTGTCCTCCAGTCACCACGTGAAGTGCTCGTTTTTTCCCCAAATTGCAGCTTCTTGGAGGGAATTTTGTAGCCTCTGCAGGGTCTTTATTGACTCAGAGAAATCCCTGGATAAAGGCTCTCTCTGGTTTTTTTCCTTGGGCAGGACATGAGGAATCATCCCCAGATCCTGTGGATTTATAGGAAAAAAACCCAAACAAATCCTTTTTTAGCTTTTCCCAGGGAAAGCTTGGGGGGGGCAGCACACAGGGAATGGGATGGGGGGGGGGTTTTGGGAAGGAATTCCTGCCTGGGAATCCCCATCCCTGGAATTGTCCCAGGAGAGGTTGGATGGGATTGGGATGGGATTTAAGGTCCTTTCCAGCCCTTTAATTCTATTCTACAAAATAAAATCCTTTTTTTTTTCCTCCCTTTCCCAGGTTTAAGACCCTTTAAATCCTTTATTTTTTAAAGTTCCTGCCAAACTCAGGAATTATCCACGAGTGGGAAGGAAAATCCACCGGGAATTAATTCCACGGAGCCGTGGAAATGGAGTGGGATGGAATCCAGCACAGATTGATTCATTAATCAGTTAATTAATCAATTACAGCCCCAATTCCCTGAGCACCCCAAGCTCCAGGTGGGATTTTTGGGATGTTCAGCTGATGAAAAGGAAGGAAAACTCACCCAGGAATGTTTGGGACCGACCTGGTGCAGAGCTGAATTCCCTGTCCCTGATTTCCCTGGAATTCTGAGGGGGTTTGGATGAACAAGTGGAATTTTATCAGTGGGGTGGGATGAGCCAAAATTGGAATCCTTCTTTCCCTTAAACACTGAAATCCCCCTTTCCCTAAAAAGAAGAATCCCAACTTCCTCATCTCTTGGAAGCCAAATTTGCTCCCAAATTTCCTTGGAGATCTTCAGGTTCCTGCCATCCTCAGGCTGGAATTGCCCTGGAATTTTCTGCTGCACAGAACTCTCCCACTTTTTAAGGGAAATACCAAAATCCCACCAGGAAAATGTTGTGATTCTGATGGATTTTCCCCAAATTTCCCAATTTCCAGCAGCAGATGATGAAGAACAGCTGGATGATCCCTTTTTTTTCCCAGATTCCCAGGTGAAAAACTGAGAGAAAACCCAATTTTTTTAGGATTGTTACAGATTTATATTCAGGGTTTTTTTACTCTTAATAAAATCCATGATTTCTTATTTTCATTTTTCTTCACTTCTCATTTTTACTTTTCTATTCATTTTCCTCCTGCTTTTATTTGATTTTTTATTTCTAATTCAACCAAAGCCTTGAAACCAAAGGATCTCAGCAAATTTGGGGATTCAGCACTTTGGGATTTTGGCCTGGTGGAGTTTTTTGGTGAATTCTCTGCTAACTGAGCTGTTTAAAATTTGGATTTTCCTCTTTTTTTGCAGGGATATCCCGATGCCTCTGGTGAGTTCTGGGGTGGAGCACGGGAACCTGAGGGAGCTCGCCCTGGCCAGGATGAAGGACCTTGGGACACAGGTAAATTTAAGAAAATAATTAATAATAATTTAAAATATCTATTAAATATTTTATAATTAATTTATATTTATTGGTGATAAATAAAATATTTAATAGTTATTTTAAAAAATAGTAAATAATGAAGAAAAATTCTCTCTGGTTGTGTTGAGGGAGAGCTGATGGCTCCACTCAAATCAGGAGATAAAAACCCAAAAGAACCAGATTTGGTTTAAAAAAAACCCCAAAAGAACCCAATTTGGCTTAAAGGAAAAAACCCAAAAGAACCAGATTTGGCTTTAAAAAAATCCAGAAGAACCCAATTTGGCTTAAAGAAAAAAACCCCAAAAAAACCAGATTTGGCTTTAAAAAAACCCCAAAAGAACCAGATTTGACTTAAAAAAAACCCAAAAGAACCCAATTTGGCTTAAAGAAAAAAAACCCAAAAGAACCAGATTTGACTTTAAAAAAAAACCCAAAAGAACCAGATTTGGCTTTAAAAAAAACCCAAAAGAACCAGATTTGGTTTAAAAAAAACCCAAAAGAACCAGATTTGGCTTTAAAAAACCCCAAAAGAACCAGATTTGGCTTAAAAGGCCTTAAAAAAAAAACCAAAAAAAGTAAATTACTAAAAATCACCTCACTGAAAAGCTGCTTTTTTTTGGGGACAATTTCAGTTTCGCTCTTCCACCCCTCTGCTGAATGCACCTGGAATGTGGGAGTTTAAATTCCTCTTTTTCCCATTTTTTCTCCCATTTTTCCCTTTTTTTCTGCAAAAAAAAACCACAACAAAAAACAAAAGAACCAGATTTGTCTTTAAAAAAACAAAAAAAAACCCCATATTTGGCTTTAAAAAAACCCCAAAAGAACCATATTTGACTTAAAAAAAAACCCAGAAGAACCAGATTTGGCTTAAAAAAAAAAACCCAAAAAAAGTAAATTACTAAAAAGCACCTCACTGAAAAGCTGCTTTTTTTTGGGGACAATTTCAGTTTCGCTCTTCCACCCCTCTGCTGAATGCACCTGGAATGTGGGAGTTTAAATTCCTCTTTTTCCCATTTTTTCTCCCATTTTTCCCTTTTTTTCTGCCATTTTTTCCCCATTTTTTTCCCCCCATTTTTTTGAGCAGTATTGGACCTCTGAAATCAGAGGGAAAAGAGGGAAAAAATTCGTTTTTGAATTCTGCTGCCTTTCTCCTTCCCACAAGAATTCTGGGATCCAGGACACTCAGGATCCATCCCCAGGGATTTTTATGGAATTCCAGGATGGAAAAGGGAAGGGAGACCCTTCCTGGAGTCCCCAATTCCCAGGGAATTCCTGAAATTCCTTCCTGGAGAAGAGTTGGGATGGGGATGGATCCAAAGCCAGACTGGGAATGCTGGGAATTCCCTGGGAAAGGGGAAATGGGATTTGGGAAGGAATTCCTGGTGTATCCTGGTGATTCCAAAAAACCCCAAATCCCAGAAAAAGAACCCCAAATCCTCAAGAAAATAAAAATCCCCAAGAAAATATCAAATCCCAAAAATAATCCCAAAAAGTTACCCAAAAATCCCTTCAAATTCGGGAGGAATTTGGGAAGGAATTCCCAGCTGGGCTGGAATTCCCAGAGAATCCCTGGGAGTGTCCAAGGAAAGTTGGATTGGGGTTGGGATGGGGTTGAACCTCCATGGATCCCATCCCAAAGAATTCCGGGATTCTGGGATCCAGGACGCTCAGGATCCATCCCCAGGGATTTTTATGGAATTTGTGTGGATGGAAAAGGGAAGGAAGATCCTTCCTGGAGTCTCCAGTTCCCAGTAAATTCCTGAAATTCCTTCCCAGAGAGGATTCAGGATGAGGATGGATCCAATGGCAGGCTGGGAGAGCTGGGAACGGAGGGAATTCCCTGGGAAAAGGGGAAGAATTTGGGAAGGAATTCCTGGTGTATCCTGGTGATTCCAAAAAACCGCAAATCCCAGAAAAAGAACCCCAAATCCCCAAAAAAATAAAAATCCCCACCCCAGAAAATCCCCAAATCCTACGGAAAATATCAAATCCCAAAAATAATCCCAAAAGCCTTTCAAATTTGGTTGAATGTTTGCTCCGTGGATCCCATCCCAAAGAATTCCGGGATTCTGGGATCCATCCCAGGGGTTTGGAAGCCTGGAATTTTCCGGAATTTTCCGGAATTTTCCGTGCTCAGAGCTTGCCTTCCTTCCCTTTCCGGGGAAGAATTTGGGAAGGAATTCCTGGTGTATCCTGGTGATTCCAAAAAACCCCAAATCCCAGAAAAAGAACCCCAAATCCCCAAAAAAATAAAAATCCCCACCCCAGAAAATCCCCAAATCCTACGGAAAATATCAAATCCCAAAAAGTTCCCCAAAAACCTTTCAAATTTGGTTGAATCTTTGCTCCGTGGATCCCATCCCAAAGAATTCCGGGATTCTGGGATCCATCCCAGGGGTTTGGAAGCCTGGAATTTTCCGGAATTTTCCGGAATTTTCCGTGCTCAGAGCTTGCCTTCCTTCCCTTTCCTCCCAGTGCCGCGACGTGAGGACGAGGGAGGTCGGAATTCAGGAAATCCACCACAAAGTCCGGCCCTACCAGGTAAAAATTCCCTTTTTTTTTACATTTTCCTGAGGAAATTCCCGGATCAGAGTTCAGGAATTCCATCGCTGCCGAGGTTTTGGGGTGTTTGCACTTCCATAAAATTCACACCGCCCCTTTTTGCCCGTTAAAATCGGGATTTTGGGAAATTCAGAACACCCTGGGTCTGTTGGGAGTAAGAATTGGGAATTTGGAGCTTTTTTTTTGGGAATTTTCATGGTTTTTAGGCAAATAATGTGTATTTAAATGTGTGTTGGTATGTGAAAAAATGGCATTAAAATATGGATCTGTTTTATATTTTTATATACTTTTAAAAATTAATATTTTTATTTTTTATCATCAATTTTATAAGTATATATATTTATATATATACTTATAAAATTGATAAATAATTTTATATATAATAATTGATAAATAATTTTATATAAAAATAGATATAATATTATACAAATATACATAATATATAAATATATATTATGTGTATTTATATAATATTATATCTATTTATATATAAAATAGATCTTTATAAAGTATTTATATTTGCTTATTTTGATATATATTTTATATCAATGCATAATATATAATATATTATTTCTATATTTTATGTAGAAATATATAATGTGTATATAAATTTGTATTTATACATGTAAATACATATTTATATTTAAACTTATTAAATATATTAATATATGTTAATTTTTATTGTTTTATTTATATATAACTACTAAAAATATAGATTTATTTATATGTAGATGTGTCTATATATAAATGTTTCTATAAATATATCTTTATAAAATATTTTATAAATATAAAATACAATTTTATACTAATATATAATATATTAATATATTATTTCTATGTTACATGTAGAAATATATATAATGTGTATACATATAAATACATATTTATATTTAAATATATTAATAGATTACATATTGAATTGTATATATTTTCTTTGTACATATATATTTTATTAATATATATTTATATATATATACGTAAATGTGTCTATAAATATATATTTATAAAATATTTATATATTACTATATATAATAGATTAACAATATTTTATTTCTATTTTAATTACTGTATATACACATATATTTTCTATATATAAATATGTATTAACATGTCTGTATTCCTGTGTTGTCACAATTAATCCATTCAGTTTTTATTAATGTTAATTGCTGCATTCTCTTTTCGTGTTCACATTTTAATTTGGGTTTTTGTGGAATCCCTTCCTCTGGCACTCGCCTCTGGGCGTGGTTTCCATCCCAAAATCCCAAAAGATTCCCAGAAAGGTGTTCTGGCTCGGGGGGAGAAAGGGGAATGTGCCCTGCTGGAGTGAAGCTTCCCTGGGAGCAAATTCCAGAATCCTGGAATGCTTGGGGCTGGAAGGGATCACCCTGGAATTCCCAGATCCCGGGTTTCCATATCCCGGCAATTTCCATATCCTGGGAATGTTCATATCCCAGAAATTCCCAGATCCCAGAAATTCCCCTATCCTGGGAATTCCCATATCCCAGGAATTTCCATATCTTGGAAGCGTTCATATCTTGGAAATTTCCATATTCTGGGAATTCCTGTATCCTGGAATATTCCATATCCGGGGAGTGTTCATATCCTGGGAATATCCATACCCAGGGTATTCCCATATCCCAGAAATTTCCATATCCCAGGAATTTCCATATCCTGGGAATATTCAGACCCCAGAAATTTCCATTTCCCAGAAATTGCCATATCCAGGGAATTCCCATATTCTGGGAATGTTCATATCCCAGAAATTTCCACATCCTGGAAATTTCCATATCCCAGAAACGTCCCTATCCTGGTAATTCCCATATCCCGGGAATTCCCTCTTCCTGTTCCTCTGCTGATGTTCAGGAAGGAGCGAAGCGATTCCGGATTTTACTTCCAACAAACGGAATTCCTGCAGGAATTGTTGGGTGCTGGGAGAAGCTGGATCAGGGAGCCGCTTCCCAACCCCTCTGCCCATCCCAGTTCCCAAACCGAGCCACGGATTCCTAAACTTCCTCCTCATTCCTGCTTTGGAATTCCGCCGATTCCTCAGGCTTCGAGGAGTTTGGAGAACATTCCCAGAGTTCAGCAGCTGGAATCGGAGATTCCTGGGAATTTTATTCTCCTTTCCTCCTCCACGATGAGTGAATTTGTATAAAAATCCCCCAAAAAAATCTCCCCGTTCTTCCCAGATTCCCTCGGGATCCGAGGCTGCCCAGATTTCCGGGAATGGGGAATCTCTTCCCGAGTTTCTGCTGGAGGCAGCTCCGATCTGATTTCAATTGTAAACCTGGGGAGGGGGAGCTCATCCCGGGCTTTTCCAAGCGGAAAATTCCCTTTGTTCGGGTGGGAGAGTGACAGGCAGGAGCGGGAATCCCGGGAAAACCAGCTGGAGCGTTTTTCCGTGGATGTTTGTGTGGAACAACATCATCCCCCGGATGGGAGACGGATCCTGGCACGGAATAATTAATTAATTAATCGCCGCCTCTAATTAATGGCTCTGCGCCTTTCTGTCACCAATCGGAATTTCGGGGCGTTTTTCCGTGTCTGGGGTTTTTTATGGATCTGTCTTTTCCATCAGGAACGCAGGGAGGGGTTGGGAAAGGCTCAAAAATGGAATTATTGTGGTGAGGGAACGTCGGAGTGGCAGATCCTGATTCCTGGAAAATCGGAGGGATTCTGTTGGGAAAATGAGGAATAAATAAAGAACGTTTCGGGGCTGGTTTGGGTCCGGAGAATTTCCAGACATTTAATGGGATTTCACAGGGAAATGGGAAGGTTTAGGGACAGGGAATTGTCCCTGAAGAGTTCAGGCACAGCCCGGACAGGGCTTGGGATCAGGGAATGTGTCAGGGTGGGAATGGGATGGGAATGAAGCTCCAGGGATCCCGTCCCACAATTCTGGGATCAAGGACACTCAGGATCCATCCCCAGGGATTTTTATGGAATTCCAGGATGGGAAAGGGAAGGGAGACCCTTCCTGGAGTCCCAAAATTCCCAGGGAAGCCCCTGGATCCTGAAATTCCTTCCCAGAGAGGAGTTAGGATGGGAATGGATCCAATGGCAGGCTGGGAGAGCTGGGAATGGAGGGAATTCTGTGGGAAAGGGGAGTTTGGGGTGGAATTTGGGAAGGAATTCCTGACTGTGTTGGAATTCCCAGAGAATCCCTGGGAGTGTCCAAGGAAAGGCTGGAACAGCCCGGAATGGTGGAAGGTGTCCCAGGAACGGGGTGGGATTGAAGGTCCATTCCCACCCAAACCATTCCATGATTCTGTGTGGCAGGCTGGGAGAGCTGGGAATGGAGGGAATTCTGTGGGAAAGGGGAGTTTGGGGTGGGATTTGGGAAGGAATTCCTGACTGTGTTGGAATTCCCAGAGAATCCCTGGGAGTGTCCAAGGAAAGGCTGGAGCAGCCCGGAATGGTGGAAGGTGTCCCAGGAACGGGGTGGGATTGAAGGTCCATTCCCACCCAAACCATTCCATGATTCTGTGCCAAAGGTCATCACCATTCCCATCTGGAATTCCGTTGGCTTTGGGGAATCCCTTCCTGTTTGCTCATATTTATGGATCCGTGGAATCGGCTTCACTCTCACATTTTCCTTTTTCCCTTCTCGTCCGTCCCTGCCCGGCCCAGGGGGAGCGCTCAGGTGGAGCTGATCCATAAGGATTACGTGGCCAATTCCAAACTCCCATCTGGAATCAAACTGGTTTTAAGGAATCTGTTCCTGTTTGCTCTGAGCCATATTTATGGATCCATGGATTCAGCTTCGCCCTCACATTTTCCTTCCCCTCCTCACTCCCGGCTCAGGTGGAGCTGATCCATAAGGATTACGTGGCCAATTCCAAATTCCCATCTGGAATCAAACGGGTTTTAAGGAATCCCTTCCTGATTGCTCTGAGCTGTATTTATGGATCCATGGAATCGGCTTTGCCCTCACATTTTCCTTCCCCTCCTCACTCCCGGCTCAGGTGGAGCTGATCCATAAAGATTACATGGCCAATTCCAAATTCCCATCTGGAATCAAGCTCACTTTAGGGAATCCCTTCCTGTTCGCTCTGAGCCGTATCTATGGATCCATGGAATTGGCTTCACTCTCACATTTTCCTTTCCCTCCTCACTCCTGGACCAGGTGGAGCTGATCCCCTGGGATTACGTGGCCAATTCCATCCATGTGGCTTTAAGGAATCCCTTCCTGTTCGCTCTGAGCTATATTTATGGATCCATGGAATCGGCTTTGCCCTCACATTTTCCTTCCCCTCCTCACTCCCGGCTCAGGTGGAGCTGATCCACCGGGATTACGTGGCCAATTCCAAACTCCCATCTGGAATCAAACTGGTTTTAAGGAATCTGTTCCTGTTCACTCTGAGCCATATTTATGGATCCATGGAATCGGCTTCACTCTCACATTTTCCTTTTTCCCTCCTTTCCCTCCTCGTCCGTCCCTGCCCGGCCCAGGTGGAGCTGATCCGCCGGGATTACGTGGCCAACGGGGGCTGGGAGACGTTCCTGTCCTACGAGGATCCGGAGCGGGACATCCTGGTGGGGCTGCTCCGCCTGCGCCGCGGCTCCCCGCAGTCCTTCCGCCCCGAGCTCAAGGGCGGCGTCTCCATCGTCCGGGAATTGCACGTCTACGGCAGCGTGGTGCCCGTCAGCAGCCGGGATCCCACCAAATTCCAGCACCAGGTACCCCACAACGTTCCTGGAATTCCCGCTGCTCTCGCCCCGTCCCGTCGTTCCAGCCTCCTTCCGTCTCTTTCCCCCCACAAAAAAATTGGGAGTTTTATTTAATTTTGCTCATTTGCTCTGAGCTGGGATGGAACCAGGATGGGATTTCAGCTCCTGTTTGCTGGAATTCTGTTGCTTCCCAGTGTTTTCCCAACGGGATCACTTTCCAGCCATTGAAGGAACTCTGAGATCTAACAAAATTCCTTGAGATTTTAAGAAATTCCTTTCTGGAATTAAAAAAAAAAAATCCTTATTGGATGCTCCTGGAGCTGCTGCATTCCCAGCCCTCAGGAGCCTTTGGATTTCCTTTGTTGATGAATTCCTGCTCAGGGGAGGAATTCCGTTGGAATTCCCTGCAGCAGTTCCCTCTGGGAAGGGGAGGTTGGGTTTGGTGCTGCCCAGGTTTCTTCCAAAGGGACTTTTATGGGATGGGTTCTTCCTGATGGATTGGAATTCCCAGGAATCCGTGGCTGCCCCTGGATCCCTGGGAGTGTTCCAGGAAAGGTTGGAGCACCCTGGGATTGTGGGAAGTGTTGGGGTTGGAATGGGATGGGATTTAAGGTCCCTTCCAAATTTCTTCCCTTGGACACTCCCAGGGATCCAGGGATTCTCTGGGAATCCCAGCCCCTCCCCATCCTCCCAGCCAGGAATTTTTTCCCAAGATCTCATCCCAAATCCCTCCCTTTTCCCAGGGAATTCCCTCCATTCCAGCTCTCCCAGCCTGCCATTGGATCCATCCCCGTCCTGAATCCTCTCTGGGAAGGAATTTTTGGATCCAGGGGCTTCACTGGGAATTCTGGGACTCCAGAAAGGGTCTCCCTTCCCTTTTCCATCCTTGAATTCCATAAAAATCCCTGCGGATGGATCCTGAGTGTCCTGGATCCCAGAATCCCGGAATGGTTTGGGATGGGATCCCTGGAGCTTCAATCCCATCCCATTCCCGCCCCACCATCCCAGGCTGCTCCAGCCTTTCCTGGGACACTCCCAGGAAATCTCTGGGAATTCCAGCCCAGCCAGGAATTCCTCCCCCATATCCCACCTATCCCTGCCCTCTGGCCCTGGGAATTTCCAGTGTGAAATTCCAGGATGATTTCCCATCAGGGAATTTGACCCCGTCCCACTCCTGCCATGGAGAACCCCTCAGACTCTGGAAGTTCCAGTGAATAATTCCACCACGAGGAAAAAAATTCCCTGAGGAATTCGTTGTTGACCTCAATCCTGCAATATTCCCGATCATTCCAAAAATCTGGATTTTTTTTTGGAACCCACCTTCACATTCTGACCTTGAATTCCCTTTTCTTCTCCTGTTTTTCGCTGCCATTCCAGGGATTTGGAATGCTGCTGATGGAGGAGGCGGAGAGGATCGCCAGGGAGGAGCACGGGGCACGGAAAATTGCCGTCATTTCAGGTATTTTTGTTTGTCCCTTGGGGAATTTTTTAGGATATTTTTATCTTGATCTGAAAACAACCCCAGTGCTGGGAGCTCTCCTCGGGACAGGGAGGATCCATCCGGAATTATCCCGGAGAAAGGAGCTGGGAGAAAAGCCTCTCCTCCTTTCCCGTTTTTCCTGACGTTTGGGACAGCAAAGGGACAACTTTGGGTGGGAATTGTTGGGATTTTGGGAGCTCCAGGAAGCTTTTCCAGGTGGATGGAACAGTGGAATATCCGGGATCCAGCAATCCCTGCTGGAGCCTTGGGAGTGTGGCCGTTCCACCCTCTGGAATACAGTAATTTAATATAAATTATCATTTTGGGGAATGATGGGGAGAGGAATTCTTGTTGCCGTTAAGAATTTTAGGGGATTTAACAGCAGAGCTCTGATCCAGAGGGTTTTTTTGGGGGAAAAATCCTCATTTTCTGCTGCCCCACCAAAAAAAAAAACAACCCAAAAGAGCAGAAATCCGCAGCTTGGATCCGTGCTGCTGATCAGATGGAAAATCCTGGGATTTTCATGGATTGTGGATGAGGGTCGGAGTGAGAGTGGGGACAACGTGCAGGAGGAGCCGGATGCTCCAAGGGAACGTTCTGGATTTTTTGGGTTCTGTTTGCTGCTTGTTCCCAGAGCAGCTGTGGCTGCTCCATCCCTGGAAGTGTCCAAGGAAAACTGGGAACAATCTGGGATCGTGGGAGGTATCCTGGGAATGGGATGGGATTTAAGGTCCCTTCCCACCCAAACCCTTCCGGAATTCCATGGTTCCATCTCCCAGTGGTTTCCCTATTCCTGCTGCTGTTTGGTGTCAGTCTGAACTGGGAATTCCACACAGATTCCGGAATTCCATGATTCCGTCTCCCGGTGGTTTCCCTATTCCTGCTTGGTGTCAGTCAGAACCAGGAATTCACCTGGATTCCAGAATTCCATGATTCTGCCTCCCAGTGGTTTCCCTGTGTCTGCTGGTGTTTGGTGTCAGTCTGAACTGGCAATTCCACCTGGATTCCGGAATTCCTTGGTTCTTTCTCCCAGTGGTTTCCCTATTCCTGCTGCTGTTTGGTGTCGGTCTGAACTGGGAATTCCATCCAGATTCCAGGATTCCATGATTCTGTCTCCCAGTGGTTTCCCTATTCCTGCTGCTGTTTGGTGTCAGTCTCAACTAGGAATCCACCAGAATTCCATAATTCTCTCTCCCAATCCTTTTTCCATTTTCTGCTGCTGTTTGGTGTCAGTCTGAACTGGAAATTCCACCTGGATTCCAGAATTCCATGATTCTGTCTCCCAATCGTTTCTGTATTCCTGCATGGTGTCAGTCTGAACTGGGAATTCCACCCGGATTCCGTTTGTATCCCTGGAGAGCCAAGCACAAAATCCTGCAATTTCTCCACAATCCGCAGGTTTTCCAGCCGTTTCCTTGGAGATGCAGAATTCCAGCCCTCCCGGAGGTTTTATCCGGAATAAAAACGCAGCCGGGAGCTTTTCCTCCGTCAGAGGGCGGAATTCTGGAGTCTGAAATGGAATTTTTAATACAGGAGCCTGCTCAAAGTTGCATTTCCAACGGAAAATTATTTTTCCAAAAGGAAAAACATGGAATTTTGGGACAGGAGGGCGTGGAGGGGTTGGAGCGAAGTTTGGGGCTCATCCCTTCGTTAAAAATGAGCAGAACTCTTCATTGTGGGGAGGTGAAATCCTCATTCCAAGGGGCTGGAAAAGAGGATCTTGGAATGCCTTTTCCAGCTCTGAGTCCTGCAGCTGGTTGGATCCTGCTCGCCTTTAGGGAAGGAATTTGGGAAGCTGGAAAAGCCCAGAGAAATCTGGGATTTTCCGGCTGATCGTTCAGGGACTGACGCCGGTTTGGAAGCGCGTTTTCCTCGATCCAGAGGGAGGGAAATTCGGGTGGAAAACAGGGAGGAAAGGGAAATCCTGACGTTTCCTGGCATCTCCAGCTGTTCCCATTGGAATCTCCTCCCTCCCTCGGCCAACTGAGCTGGTTTTCCTTTTTGGCTGGGGAGGATTTTGGGAACAATCTTCTCCATCCCCTCGGCGATGAGATTCTGGAATTTTTATCTTCCTGCCATGGAACCCCTGGATCCAAACCTGGAGGTGGGAATGCAGAAATCCCTGGATCCAAACCTGGAGGTGGGAATGCAGAAATCCCTGGATCCAAACCTGGAGGTGGGAATGCAGAAATCCCTGGATCCAAACTTGGAGATTCCAGAATGGAGAAATCCCTGGATCCAAACCTGGAGATTCCAGAATGGAGAAATCCCTGGATCCAAACCTGGAGGTGGGAATGCAGAAATCCCTGGATCCAAACCTGGAGGTGGGAATGCAGAAATCCCTGGATGCCCCTGGTGAAGATCAGGAGCAGAGGGGTCGCGCTGGGGTGGTGATGGGAGCTGCCCAATCCCAAAATTCCAGGACACAGAGCGTTCTTCCAATCCCACAAATCCCTGTTTGAATGCTTGGCTATTCCTGGGAATGCGAAGCCACAGGAGATGCCACCAAATCCCAGAATTCCAGGGAATGGAGGGTTCTTCCAATCCCACAAATCCTTGGTTGATTTCTTGGCTGTTCCTGGGAATGTGGAGCTACAGGAGATGCCACAATCCCAAAAAAACCTGGGAACGCAGGGCTTTTCCATACTCTCAGATCTTTGGCGTTCCTGCAGGAATCTGCGATCCCGAGGAGAAATTTACCAAATTCCATGTTTTTTCTGGGATCTGGAATGGCTCATTCCGGTGGCTGACTCCAGGAACGCCCCGGTTCCTGTGCTGGAAGAAACCAGGAAGGGAAGCTCGGAATTTCAGCTGCATCCCAGGGTGTTAAATCCACCTGGAGCCAGGAATTCCACGGAGAGAAGCTGGAAGAAGCTCCTGGTAAATCCCAGGAAGAGCTGCGGCCTCATTTCCTCCACAGACAGCCCTGGGAGGAACAAAAAACCGGGATGCAGGCTCCTGGATGAGGAGATTCCAAGGATCGATGGGCTCTGGGAAGGCTCCCTGGAGTATTCCACCATCCTGGAATTGTTGTTTTTGGGAATGCCAATCTCCGGGCCGTTAACGACGAGTGGAAATAATGAATTGGAGTTCGTTGTTTCTCTGACGTTTGTCAGCTCTGGATTGGTGGCCTTTGGATTTATTAATTATTTAATTAATTGGGGGGATTTGGGAAGAGCCAAGGATAAACCCGGAGCAGGGAATTCCTGCTGTGTGCTGGTTCAGGATGGGCTCAAATTGTGGAGGTTTTGATGATGAGACAGCTCTGAAAACGGGTTTGATGTTGGATTAATTGGGATTTTGGGGCAGGAATTAGCGGGAATGTCGGCTGTCCTTAAGCAAGGAGAAGTCGGGATTCTCCCAAGTGTCCTGGCAGGAAGTTTTTATTTCTATATTAATATTATCTGTATTTAAATGAAGGCAAATCCTACACAAAACGTGGGAGTTGGAAATGTGGGGAATCCTTGGGATTCCTTCCTTCCTGCCTTTCTTCCTTCCTTCCCCCCAAATCCACAATTTTTCAACTTAGATTGGGTGGGAATTATTTAGAAATCAGATAATCCCCAGGGATTTCAAATTTCCAGCAGTAGGAGTGGGGTTGGATCAGAGCTGTGAACATTTTCCAGGGATTTAAAAGGGAATGTTCTTCCCTTCCTTGGGAACATTAAGGGTTGGAGTCTTGTTCTCCAAGCTCTGAGTGTGGCCTTTGTTGTGTCTGTATCCCAAATTTCCTGCGTGTTTGCAATCTAGGAATTCCTGCATTAATGTCCAGTGGGATTTGTCCATTTCCCTGGATCCTGATATACCTGGATCCTGTTATCCCCGGATCTCGTTATCCCTGGATCCCATTATTCCTGGATGTTGTTATCCCTGGATGTTTTTCCCTAGATCCTGTTATCCCTGGATGTTTTTTTGCATGGATGCTGTTATCCCTGGATGTTTTTTCCCCTGGATCCCATTATCTCTGGATCCTGTTATCCCCGGATCCCATTATCCCTGGATCCCGTTATCCCTGGATGTTTTTCTCTAGATCCCGTTATCCCTGGATGTTTTTCCCTGGATCCCGTTATCCCTGGATGTTTTTTCCCGGATCCCATTATCCCTGGATGTTTTTCCCTAGATCCCGTTATCCCTGGATGTTTTTTCCCTGGATCCCGTTATCCCTGGATGTTTTTTCCCTGGATCCCGTTATCCCTGGATCCTGTTATCCCTGTATCCCGTTATCCCTGGATGTTTTTTCCCTGGATCCCGTTATCCCTGGATGTTTTTTCCCTGGATCCCGTTATCCCTGGATGTTTTTTCCTGGGATATTCTGAACCCCTCAGGTCCCTCCTTGCCCCAGAACACATCCAGGTCTTTCCCTGCCCCGCTGAGGATGAGCATTCCCAGTCAGGAGCCGGGACTGGGGCCCTTTTCCCAGGATTCCGAGCTGTTCCAGCGGGAGGCCGGAGCTGCCCCCTCAGAAGTAGCGATTTTTTGTTTCTCCCTTTGCTCATTCCAGGTAATTTTCTGCTCGAGCGGCGCCTTTGTGCCGCGGGGCGGGGGCTCGGGGTCGGCATTCCGGCTGGGATCGCTCCATGATCCCGGCTCTGAAACCCCTGCCTTCCCCTTTGCTGGAATTGCTGCCTGCTTGCTCTGCCTTTTGTTGGGATTTTTGGGTGGTTTTTGGGGTTGTTTGCGAATTTTCAGTTTTACCTGCTCCAAATTTGCTTCTTTTTGCCCTTTTCAAAACCCCTCCCAAACCCAAAAGAAACAATTTCAAAATCTGCTCCTTGGTGTCCACGAGTGCTGAAAACACAAGGAATGTGGGGAATCCTTATGGAATATGGAGAATTCCTCCTTTCCTTTCCTTTCCTTTGCTTTCCTTTCCTTTCCTTTCCTCTCCTTTCCTTTCCTTTCCTTTGCTTTCCTTTCCTTTCCTTTCCTCTCCTTTCCTTTCCTTTCCTTTGCTTTCCTTTCCTTTCCTTTCCTCTCCTTTC